AACAGCTATTCAATTTGAGCAATTTCCCCACATTTTCTCAGTCATATTTTAGCTACAAAATAGAACTGCCTACATTTTTCCAACAGCAAGTCAACTTAAGAATTCTGCCTGGCAGGCATCACATAAAGTTTGGAAGCTATCTTGATTACAAAATGCCAAGGCATTTGACCTAGCAAATAGAGACTTACAAAGTGTGTGGTATCTTGTATCACAATGACTTGCAAAGCATCATATTTAAGGTGTTTCTCACAGTGACTAATATAAATTTGGGCAATCCAGATATATGATCTTCACTGATTTTCCTTGTGAATACCATACATGCACGTACACACAGAATGATTCAGGCTATACACAAACCAGAAGAGTTAACTGGCCATGAGGAAATCAAATCTTAGTACTATTACCCTGGGCTTCAAATAAGCAATATTCCCCTCACCCTTTTCTTTTTTTAACTCACAGGAGGCTGCAAAAACAGTATAAAAAGCCTCATGTACCCTTCACCCAGCTTCCCCCAATGGTGACACCTTATACAGTTCTAAATCGATATCAAAAGCAGGAAACTAACACCGGTACATTACAGTATACTAAACTATGGGCTCCTTTATACTTTTTATAGGTAAGTTATACAACAGTGACATTTCTCAGAAACTCTCTTAGCACTGGGCATTCTACTACCAGTCAAACTACCAATCTAGACTTCTGACACAATTACAAATTACCATATATAAGCAATATTTATACACATACAAATATAAGCACATCCCATATATTCATACCACACACATACAACAAGAATTGCATCCATGTCTGTAAAAACTTATATGGAAATAATAGTAATCCATCTTCCTCATCCCATAATTTTTCCACTAACTTCTACTCTCCCCTCCTATTGCTATACAAAGATTGTGTAAATAAACCTGTGAGATCAAAGAAATATTTAAAAATTATCTAATAAAATTCCACACAGTTCACTCTACAGCATCCCAATGATTAATCTTTCAGCCTTCACTTGAATATCTCAAATGACAGGAAACTCATCAGATATAAAGGAATCCAGTATGCCTTTGGTCAAAAATTATTTCTTATCATGAGCAAAAACCTGTTTCTCTTGAATTTGTACTAATGTGGTTCTAGTTATATGCTATGATGATATTCACATGCAATCTCTCCCCTAACTACCTTTTTCACAGAGAAGCCAGACATCCTGGTTTATCTGAGATAATTTTAGTTTGCACTTGCTGTTCTGACACAATTAATAGCCATTTTTACTCTCAAGATTTGAAAAAACATTACACAATTCCCCTATTCAGGACAGCCCTCAACTGTTTAAGGACCACACATGGCTTTTTAAAATCAAGTTAAATATCTCCTTGTTTTCGAGCTGTTCTTCATATATGATTTTTGCATACCTATGTTAATGAGGGAGTTTATAATCCCAATTCAAAAGCAGAAAGTCATTTACTTCTCTTTGAAAACTAGATCAACATACAGCATCCCTCTGGATAATGAGTAGTCACCTCATATAATGGTACCAGGTAGCAGTCTCATATTATACCAGTAGGTGTCACTCTGTATATATTTAATATTACTTAAGTTTCAATTCATTTATTCAACAATTATTTATTTAGTACCCATTATGTGCCAAGCATGATTCTAGGTACTGAGAACATAGTGGTGAACAAAAAAAGACACAATCTTGTTTTCATAGAGCTTACAGTCCAGATATTAATGAACAAATCTGCTTTATTTTTTTTCTACATAAAAAAATTGTGAAATACTAATCCTAATGCAGTTCAGTTCAGAACTGTATTTTCCTAGGTTAATATATAACACTCAAAAATAACTCATAAAAAAACCAAATACTATAATGAAACAGAATCAAAGAAACTGTTCTGCAGGACTAGATCAATACATCCTGTGTATTTTCTAGCCTTTTAAATTTATTCAACATTTCTATTTCATACTTCAAGTTTCTAAAACCCAAATTGTAAGTCGTCCTCAGTACAATGGAAAGTAACTTACCTTTAAAAACAGTTCAGCTTTCAAAAAATATACCTACTTATGTTTTTTTTTTATTTTTGAGACAGTCTGGCTCTGTTGCCTAGGCTCATTGCAACCTCCACCTCCCAGGTTCAAGCAATTCTCCCACCTCCTGAGTAGCTGGGATTACAGGCACCCGCAGCCATACCTGGTTAATTTTCGTATTTTTAGTAGATATGGGGTTTCACCATGTTGGCTAGGCTGGTCTCTAATTCCTGACCTCAGGTGATCTGCCCACCTCAGTCTCCCAAAGTGCTGGGATTACAGGCAAGGGCCACAGCTCCCACACTATACCTACTTATGTTTTTACAGGAATATGCTCTAAATTTTAAAAGACTTATTAATTCCCAAAGCTTCTTAATGTCCAAAATACATATTTCCTATCTTTACTAAGAAAAGTTAGGCCAAGTACCATGGCTCACATCTGTAATCCCAGCACTTTGGTTTGGGAGGCAGAGACTGGCAGATCACCTGAAGTCAGGAATTCAAAACCAGCCTGGCCAACATGGTACAACCCTGTCTCTACTAAAAATACAAAAAAAAAAAAAAGCCAAGTGTGGTGGTGCATGCCTTTAAGTCTTAGCTACTTGGGAGGCTGACATAGGAGAATCACTTGAACCCGGGAGGTGGAGGCTGCAGTGAGATTGTGCCACTGCACTCCAGCCTGGGTGACAGAGCAAGATTCTGTCTCCAAAGGAAAAAAGGGAAGGAAGGAAGGAAGGGAGGGAGGGAGGGAGGGAGGGAGGGAGGGAGGGAGGGAGGGAGGGAGGGAGGGAGGGAGGAAGTTAAGTGTCACTTTCTAAACAGCAAACACATTTCCCAACTAAACAGAGTAAGTAAAGACAGTACCAAATTATGCCTCTGCAGAGCTCAGCAACTCTTCCACTGTCAAAAGTCTTTCTACTTTATTATTTTTTTTCTTTTCGAGATGGAGTCTCAGTCTGTCATCTGGAGTGCAGTGGTGAAATCTCAGCTGACTGCAACCTCTGCCTCCCAGGTTCAAATGATTCTCCTGCCTCAACCTCCCCAAAAGCTGGGATTACAGATATGTGCCACCATGGCCAGCTAATTTTTTGTATTTTTGGTAGAGACGGGGTTTTACCATGTTGCCCAAGTTGGTCTTGAACTCCTGGCCTCAAGAGATCCACCCACCTTGGCCTCCAGAGAGCTGGGATTACAGGTATGAGCCACTGTACCCAGTTTTTTCTTTTTTTGGGAGACCTGATTTCTGTTTTTATTTTTATTTGTTTTATTTTTTGAGGTAGAGTCTCACTCTGTTTCCCAGACTGGAGTGTAGTGGTGTGATCACAGCTCACTGCAGCCTCAAACTCCCCAGGCTCAGGGGATCTTTTCACCTCAGCCTCCTGAGTAGCTGGGACTACATGCCCAGCTAATTTTTCTATTTTTTGTAGAGGCAGGTTCTCACCATGTTGCCCAGGATAGTCTCAAATTCCTGGGCTCAAGTGATTTGTCCGCCTTGGTCTCCCAAAGTGCTGGGATTTCAGGTATAAACCACCATATCTGGCAAAAGCCCTTACTTAAACAAACCTGTAAGACTCATAGCTATTACTAGGACTTCAAGGTAACTTACTTACAACATAGCAATGAAAGGCCATACTTTGTCAAAGAAATAGATCTAAGGGCGAGGGCAGACACTGTACATCAAGAAGGTATACCTGCCTGCAAAGAAATCTGAGAATGTAGGAACTACTCAATTACTATATTGTCTTCAGCTACTCTCAAATCGAATGTTTTCCAAACTGGAAAAGCCACAGAAAACACAGTTATGGAAATATTTTAGGCTCGTAAAAAAAGAAAGATCCTACTGCTTAGAAATTTATAAGTGCAAAATTCAGTAATATGAATTTGAGAAAAATGATCCTTGCCAGAACTAAGACACCAACAGCTTTATATAATCTTCAACTTCATTTTCACTTTGGAATACTTCAAACTATTAGTTACTGTCTAAATTGCTAGAGAATACTACATGTTGTTCAATTTTAGCATGAAATCACACACATACTTTACAAATACTCAATGAATATTAAGTTAAAAATGAACATTAAGGTGCTTCATAAAAAAATGGTTAATGGTGAAAAAATATCTAAATTAACTTATCTCTTAATAGTAAATAAAGCATTTTCTTTTACTTTGAATGCTAAAGTAGTAGTGAGCAACTATATTTAAAACATGGTTTGTTGTCTGTGGCTTTTAAATTACACTGTAAAGCATCTGATAGGACCAGTACTGTTAATATTTGACATATTGAGATGTCACCAAATTTGCACATACACAATGGGAGATTCTCTGTGAGGTCAGTATTTTTATCTCAAATATTAAATGTATGTGTGTGTGAAGTGAGGGGTTAGTGTACTGGAAAAAGCACAGCTTTTGAGTCACAAAAATTAATGTTCAAATCCCAGCACCTCCCTAAACTAGCTAGGTGACTTTGGGCCAAGTTATTTAATCTGCTTTAAACAAAACTTTTCCACTAAGATGCAAATAAAATTGTAAGAAAGATTAAGTTGTTCTATATAAAATGCCTAATGTAGGGTCTTCCACATAGTAGGTGCTCAATAAATGACAGTTACAGGGAGATTCCACTTTAATTTTGGACCATTAAAATGACTGTATTAATTAATGTTAAACAACGACTGCCTCATAATTAACACAAAGTACATCTTTACCCTGCTGTAACACCTAGAAAACCAAATCCCTTACTCAACTGAATGCCAACAAATATGCACCTTCTCCTTTAGCTCAAATATATTTTGCATGACCTTACATGAATTGCTTAGATAAAAGCTTTTTCTCTTCTGCTTTTGTTATTTTAAAGTACAGATGCATTTGAGTCATTTTCTCCTTTTGTTTCATATCCTTAAGATCCAAAGCTTCAAAGACAGAATGTCAGCATGCAGTCGATTTATAACTGAACTCTTGAAGAGACACTGAAGAATTACCTTGTCAATCACCCCAAGGACTCTGAAGGCCTTCAGCTCCTCGGCAGGGCTTCTTAGGTTCCAAGGGGGCCTTGAACTTAGTGATCCTGGAGGCTAATGGAAGATATCAAAGATTATACATCAATCAGGGAGGTACTTGAAGGAAGGCTGCCTGCTGAAGCAAATGCCAGGCCAAAGGAAACTAAATCATCATAAATCAGAGAATGGAAAGATGAAAGGAAGAAGTTTCTGTTTGTCGGTAATATAAGATTTTAAAAAATAAAAAATAAAGAAAAGCAAAAAGAAAAAGCAAGAAAAAAGTTGCAAGTAAATAAATCATAACATTGAAAACAAAATTTTAAAAAGAAAAATTAATGAGCTGATACAGTTTCTACAGCAATAATTCAGACCATACAGCTATCATAAAACTTTGTTACAAATGGATAACTGGCCAATAATCAATCACAGTCTTATATTTAGCCCAGACACCTCAAAACTAATTTGGAAGTAGGGGAACTAAAAAATAATATAATAATAAGCACACATGGAGAGGGAGGGGCACAAGCCATTTCCTCTCATCATGAAGCTACAGTCCTATAATTGTTACTTTATAGATGATGTGTTTTCAGAGGTACTGATCCATTCAAATTCAACTAGAAAAATTACCAATAATGGCGAAAAATTAAGAAGCTTCATCATATAACCAATAATTACTAAAACTAAGCCTGCTTACGGAATGATTTACAAGAGAAAGAAATTTTTCTTCAAATATCTGAATATCTGTGATGGGGAAAACTATCTGTTAGCTACAAAAAAAAATCAGTGAACACGGGGGAACATTTAAATTCTGCACACAATTTTAAAATAACCCTAACTACCGCTTATTAGTTTTAGTGTTTCCCTATCAGTAAAATAAGCCATCAAATTAGATAAATTCTAAGGGGACCTCCATATGGCATTTACAACAATAAAGTATTGCTACGTGAACGCTTACATTAAAATGGTGATGCTGCAAAGGACAACAGGAGACATAAAGCCTTATTACATACTTAGAGCAGAGCTTACTGCTATCAAAAATCTATTAGAATACAGAGGAAACATTCTGCCCTATGAAGGGAAGGTAAAATATCCTGATCAAACATCATGGTAAGAGAATTACTGAGATACCATTTTGGATCCTTTAAGTCTCTACAGACCAACATCACTAGACAGACATCTCCTTGAGAATAGAAAATGTGCCTTATTCATTTCTATATTCACAGTGTCTAGCATATTGCTAGTGTTTAGTTAGTTGGAAGATGTGAGGAAGATCAGAAATGAGGAGAGGCGGGAGGAAGGAGGTAATGTAGGGAGACAGGTTACTTGGAAAATTAGGTGTCATTTACAACTGAGAAAACCACTTACGAAATTTTCTAAAAGCAGCAATTCTAACTGCTTTCAATTTTTGATTTAGCACGCAAACAATAATTTAAATGTACCCGAAATGAGATTTAAGTTTTAAAGGAGACTTATTTCTTAAAGATACTTGAGAAAGTTGGTGATAGTGACAATTAGACTAGATAACCTTTAAAATTGATTTAATTTATACCTCTTAGATACATTTTTAAATTATTTATTTAATATCTCAGTTCATGAGGTGTTGAGCTAGGTGCCATTAAAAACAGGTATTTCTGCCTTCCTATGACCTTAAAAACTAAGGGAAACCTTTTTAGGGCCATAAAAACATCTGGCAAGGTATTTTAGTGTTATAATATGTAAACAGACGCATAACAGAAATAATCTCTTCTGTTTTTGGGGTTTTTTTTTTTGTTTTTGAGATGGAGTTTCACTCTTGTCACCCAGGCTGGAGTGCAGTGGCATGATCTTGGCTTACTGCAACCTCTGCCTCCCAAGTTCAAGCAATCCTCCTGCCTCAGCCTCCTGAGTAGCTGGGATTATAGGTGCCTAACACCATGCCCAGCTAATTTTTTTATTTTTAGTAGAGATGTGGTTTCACCATGTTGGTCAAGCTGGTTTCAAACTCCTGACCTTAGGTGACTCACCCACCTCAGCCTCCCAAAGTGCTGGGATTACAGGCAAAGGATTACAGCCACAGCACCCAGCCAGTAGAAACAGTCTTTTCTATCTTCATTTATATTGTTTCATCTCTATTCCTCACCCCATACCAGGTGATACACTTATAGGAAGTTAGTATTACATAATTCCTACTTTACAGATGAATAAAGGGATTCTCAGAATGCTGGAGTGTTTATCTCAGGAAGAGAGACAGTGGAAGAACTCTAACTACTTACTCTAAAGCTTGCAGTCCTTTTACTAACCAACACATTCTGATAATTAAAAATTCCTGGGCCGGGCGCGGTAGCTCACACCTGTAATCCCAGCACTTTGGGAGGCCGAGGCGGGTAAATCACAAGGTCAAGAGATCGAGACCATCCTGGTCAACATGGTGAAACCCCGTCTCTACTAAAAATACAAAAAAATTGGCTGGGCATGGTGGCGCATGCCTGTAATCCAAGCTACTTAGGAGGCAGAGGGAGGAGAATTGCCTGAACCCAGGAGGCGGAGGTTGCGGTGAGCTGAGATCGCACCATTGCACTCCAGCCTGGGTCACAAGAGTGAAACTCTGTCTCAAAAAAAAAAAAAAAAAAAAAAAAAATTCCTTTTCTGCTGCTGCTTCTTGCTACAAGAACGAGTAAGAACTGCCTGTGATTTTGTCAAAAGGAATGCTAAGGAAAAGTGATAAGGGGGAAAAATAATACTTGAAATGATATTTTATCCATTACATTTGTCTTTGAAAATATGGCCAAGTATCTCCAACATCCCTACCTCCTATTTATACCTTCTTATTCACAGATGTCACTGGACCTTTCAGTTTCCAAAGAAAGTTATTAGTTCACTTTGGCAATCTGAAGAGCAAAGAAAGCAAGCTGCAAAATCTCTACTGCATCTTTCAAGGAATAATTTCTGTGCACCTACTACGTGCATGATAACTGAAAGGGTTCAGTCTAACCTCAAGAAGTTCACCATTTATTTGAGGAGATAAGACAAATAAATGAAAAGTTAAATAACAATAAAATATTATCTTAAAAATACGGGACTACACAGATACACCATTAGTATAAAAAATCATGGTCTCAGAAAGATGGGGACTACAGGTGATTTTAAATGCTATGTGGAAATTAGATTAGGAAAAGGACAGTCTATACTGTATACAATTGGAAAGCATTAGCTTGGAGAGGAAAAGTTGTTCAAATTGGAGAACAGAGGAAAATATATACTTAGGGTCAGTTTTCACAGGCCTTGAATGTCAACAAGAAAAGTCTTGACTATATATGTTCTCCAAAGTCTAGATAACAAGTTTTTAAATGAGAAATACCCAATGAACACAGTCATTTAGTAAGGTGACTCTTACAAAGATGGGAATGGGGAAATTGAAGGGGGAATGACCAAAGGCAAAGAGATCATTAAAGTTCTCTTTCTACTTTAACCATCTGTAAAAGTTTGAGATCACAGAAATGAACAAAGAAAGATCATGAAATAAAATCATCAATAAAAAAACTGTATTTCTCATATGTAGTGCTTAAATTGGGTAGAATCCTATAGATCTAATCCTTTCTTCAGATGGCAAAAGGACATACAAATCCACATAATTTTAAGAGCAGAAAGAGACCTTATAGATCAAGTCCAATTTTTGTTTTCAGGTAAGAAAACTGAGATGCATCAAGGTTAGCAAAAGTAGGTAATAGATAAGAGGGGATTCAATCCTACTTACAAAATAATAGCATGTTGTTATGGGAAACTCAGTCCATTGTGCTATGAAGCGCAATGGGGGAAAGCAGTGTATTTCTAGGTAACATGACTGAGTTCCTTGATGGAAAAGTAACATTTTCCCTTACATTTATTAGCTCTTATAGCAGAAGATGCCTCAAGAGGCAAAGAGTAGTTGTATTTGTCTACACCAGGACTAAAGACAAAGGAAGAGAGGCAAGAATACATGATGACCCAACAATCTTCAAAAGCAGAGGTGGCAAGCACATATCAATCAACTGGTCAAGCCCATGGCAGGCATCTCTGTTAATCCCACAGCCTCACAACTCTTCTCAACACAATGTTCCTGGCAGCCAATACTCATGGATTAGAAATGGCACACTAGTTAAAACCTACTTACTATTCCTGTTCTCACTCTGTCACTGAGGCTGGAGTGCAGTGACATGATCTCAGCTCACTTCAACCTCAGCCTCCCAGGTTCAAATGATAACCTCATGTCTCAGCCTCCTGAGTAGCTGGGATTACAGGCATGTGCCATCACACCTAGATAATTTTGTTTTGTATTTTTAGTAGAGATGGAGTTTCACCATGTTGGCTAGGCTGGTCTTGAACTCCTGACCTCAAGTGATCCGCCTGCCTCAGCCTTCCAAAGTGCTGGGGTTATAGGCCAGTTGTACATTCTTTAAACAGCTTTGTTCTGTTTGAGGACTTGTTTTCAAAGTTGCTGTTCAGCCTGCCCACAGTCTTTTTCACTTGATATTATTTCCTGTTCTCAATGAGATGTCTCTCTTTTCTTCCCAATCTGTTGGTGCAGTACTTCTTAAATTTTAACGTGTATGTGTCATCTGATGATCTTGTTAAAAAGAAGATTCTGATTGAGTAGGTCTGATATTCTGCATTTCCACCAAGCTCTCAGGTGATGCTGAGGCCGCTGGTTCACCAACCACATTTAGAATAGGGTTACTTACTCTTCCTCAAATAGCTTAAGAGAGAGTAATCATTACTGTGGGAAAATAAGTAATCAAGGATAAAAGGAAAGCACCACAAAGAATGTATCAAGAAATCACACTGAACTCTGATGTCTAACTGTGCCAGAGCTCCTGAATTTGGCTTCATCCATGAATGTTTACATGGCTTTACAAAGACTTTCATGGGCAATCTACCAAACCTAATACCCAGTCTTCTGAGCAGCACTAGGTCACATCTCAAGCCTGACACTTAATTGCAGGCCTATTACTGACTTAAGCACATGTCTCACTGGGGGTAAATTTAAAATATTTTCTAAGGAATAATGGAAAAATATCAACTAATAATACAAGCAAACAAAATGCACAATAGAAAAATAC